TACTCTTTGTGTGATATAGATTAAGTTAACTATATTAAATTATATGACTATAAAAAGCATACAGAAGCATTTTTGCCATCTACAATTTAGAATTCCTGGATCTTTGAGTTTTAATAGACTAATAAATCCTGTGCATGCACTCTGTGTGTGATTTGGTCATATAGCCTACTTGTATATGTCAGATCGCACATCATTACAACAACACTTACCATATTATCGCAGAAGATATACTGTATATTGCAGACCCCAGACTCGACTTGAGAGGAAAATGAATCATCCGTGGTTGTGCGCGCACTTGTTTGCATGTGCAAAGGTGTTTTTAGGAGTCTAACTTGCAAACGCCAGACCACTGATTCGTCAAACCTGCTTTCCTGCAGTCCGTGTTCTTCTGACTTCTGACTGTTCTATTAGGAAATGTAGTGGAGTAAAAGTAAAAGTTGGTTGAAATATAAAAACTCAAGTAAAGTACAGATACTCCCAAAATATACTTAAGTACTGTAACGAAGTATTAGTACTTCGTTACATTACACCACTGAAATACACTCATGCTTCAACTAATGAAAGAAACTCAAGCTAAGTCTGACTCCAACCACAACCCCAACATTCATAAAGACATTGGCAAAAATCTAAAGTATAATTATGATGAAAAATTAAAAAACTAATTTGACCTCCAAACCAAACTCCAGTGTTATTCGGCCCTAAATAGAACCACCAAATTGGCAAATTACTTATCAATCAAACAATTAAAAGAAAGACAAATCCTTTCAAAATATCGACTCAGCAACCACGACTTAGAAATAGAGAAAGGAAGATATAAAAAATCCTGGATACCGAGAGAACAGCGACTATGCAAGCACTGTGACTTAAATCAAATAGAGGATGAGAAACACTTTCTTCTTGTCTGCCCCAAATACACCACTACAAGATAAATATTCTTTCCACAATTTGAAGCACTGAATGACTCTGAGAAACTCTACTATATGCTTGGAGAGGACGACATGGCAGTCAAAATATGTATACATCTCCCTTCAGTTTGTGATTGTAGCTCCATGTAGCTTTGCTTTTCTGTTGATATAACTATAACTCTCTTTTGTTTAAAGTGATAAAATATAAACTTCCCACCACCATATATCCGATATTATCTATCAAACTAATCTGACTAATTTGTTTGTTCGTTTTAAATTTGAAATCGCGCGTGCAGCGCATTAGCATTCGTTAACCGGTTAGCTTGTCATTCACGTGTCCATTCGCATTTCTATTTGCGTCTGTTACCATTTTCTTTTTTTCTCTCGCATCCATTTCTTTTCTCTCTCTCCCTCCATTTTTCACGAGGTCATCAAACAACAGTGGTAAGTAAGAATCATTCATCAATCACGGTGAGTAATGGCTTCTTCTCCTGCTATTGTTGTTTGCACCACTTGCCACATGTATAGTTTATCTCTCTCTGTCAGCGACTGTGATAAATGCCGTATTCTCATGTGATAAATGCAGGGAAATAGGCTGACAGAGAAGATTTCAGAATTAGAGACGCGCATCCAAACTTTAATTGAGGACAGGCAGCTGGAGGAAAACAAAACTAGAGGTATTTCGTATTGCATGGCGGGAAAGTACCCTATCCTACTGAAAAGCATTAAAAACTGCTAGATCTGGTTACTTTTCGTCTCTTTTAGAAGAAAACAAACATAACCCCAGGTATTTATTCAATACAGTGGCTAAATTTACGAAAATTAAAGCATCAACAAGTGTTTACAGTTCCCAACAGCACAGCAGTAATGACTTTATGAACTACTTTACTTCCAAGATTGATACTATTAGAGATAAAATTATAACAGCCATCAGCCACAGTATCGCATCAGATCCCCTGATGAACAATTCCACTCATTCTCTGCTATAGGACAGGAAGAATTGTATAAATTGTTAAATCATCTAAACCAACAACATGCATGTTAGACCCTATTCGATCTAGACTACTAAAAGAGTTGTTTCAAGAAGCCATAGATCATCTTCTGAATATCAT